CCTTGGCGGAAGCCCTGCTCAGCGGAAGCCTTGAGACCTTTTCTCAGGTGCTGATGGCGCAGCAAAGGGAAAAGGCCTTGAGAGAGCAAGAGAGGCTTCGTCTTTACACGGCCGACCCCCTGGACCGGGAAGCTCAGGCCAAAATAGAAGAGGAAATCCGGCAGCAGAACATTGAAGAAAACATGAATATAGCGATAGAAGAGGCCCCCGAGAGTTTCGGACAAGTGACGATGCTCTACATTAACTGCAAAGTGAATGGGCATCCTTTGAAGGCTTTTGTTGACTCTGGCGCCCAGATGACCATTATGAGCCAGGCTTGTGCCGAGCGATGTAACATCATGAGGCTGGTGGACCGACGGTGGGCTGGGGTTGCTAAAGGAGTGGGCACACAGAGAATTATTGGCCGTGTTCATCTAGCTCAGATTCAAATTGAAGGTGATTTCTTACAGTGCTCTTTCTCCATACTTGAGGATCAACCCATGGATATGCTTCTAGGCCTAGATATGCTCCGGAGACATCAATGTTCCATCGATTTGAAGAAAAATGTGCTGGTCATCGGCACCACTGGCACACAGACTTACTTTCTTCCTGAGGGAGAGTTGCCCTTATGTTCTAGGATGGTAAATGGGAAAGATGAGTCTTCGGACAAGGAAATTACACGTTCTGTCATGGATTCAGGACGAAAAGAGCATTAAAGCACGTTATAAATATGTCACCACCTTGAGGGAGGCTCAGGTCCCCGGAAATTATACAGTAAGAGCTCACTGGCAATGTAATCATTAAAAATCATCAGTAACAACTAAACCTGGCCTTGGGACTACGTTCTCAGATGGGTAACTACCTCAATCCTGATTCCTTGGTCTTGGTCCCTCTTCCATTTCCCTTGTCCAGAGATAACTGAAAGACATCCTGGGAAGGCTCTGGAGGCTGCAGCTGATTTCCAGATAATCCATGAAAAAGAAAACCAGCTTCTTCCTTTAGAGACACTATCCTATCAGATTACAGGTGGCTTATTCAAATTATTGCTATTTTGCAGAATTCCCTGGAAAAATGCTATGGCTGCAGACCTTACAAGGCATCCACATAAAACTATTTCATGTCGGCACTAACAATTCTTTATATTGAGAGAAATATGCCCATTTTCACAGGTTTTGTTTTCTTTGGGAAAGGCATTAGAAATGGTGGGTCAATTACACTGTGATGTTAACTAATACACGGCTGTTTGGGGCAGCATAAAGACCAATTTCCTCATATTTACACCTTCCCTTCTCTTGGATCCCCTGCAGTCACCCTGCAATCCACAGCTAAAGACTCTTTTTGCCACATTTGAGAAAGTGGATTTATCTCCAAGGATGCTACATTAATTTTCTATTTCCCCTGCATTCAAAGAAACTCTCACTGTAAAACAAAGGCAATAAATTAGATTTTTTTTAAAAAAAGAAATTATGGTACTTCTTGGGAGTCAACTTGTACAGTAGTGGGAGTGAGAGGTAGGCACAGGCAGTGGTCCAGGTTCTCTAATACTCATTGCAACTAGATCATCTCTCTCTCGCTTTTTTAAAGTAAAAATCTGCTTTACACATTAAGCTGCTGCTACATCAATATTGTTTGAACAAATGTGTTCACTGTTAAAATAACATTTGAAAGCTTTTGAATGAGAAGATCTCTAAGGCCTCATTCAGAATTATCCATTCCGACAATGTTAGTCTTTATTACAACTGACAGTGGAAAATGGAAGTCCCTAGACTTAATTACAACCCATGGCTAAAGTACCTGAGAGAAAAGTTTCAGCTTCCTGAGGCCATCAGATGCAGGGGAAATGTTTCAGGACAATAATTTATCAAGACTGGTATTACAACAGTGGATTCAAAACCAAGAAGTGTATGCGTTGATTACACTTAATTACTTAGACAAATTAGTTCATCTACTTTACAATTGAGATTCCTCACCTATGAATTTTTTTTTTTCCTGAGTGGGGGTCACTTTTCAAGCACTAAAACTTCATTATGATCTAGGATATCCTTTAAGTTATTCTATTTTCCCAACAAGATGTAAAGCCACACAAAACATTCCCAAAGGATACAGAAAAAAAATAACTCTCCCTTATAATCCCCATATACTTTTTTTTTGTTTTGCTTCTTGGTAATACTAATCACCCTTTCTAAAGAGAATCACCTCTTTCCTTCCAGCCAATATCAATTCACCTCCCATTTTTCTTCTTTATAGGTGTTCCCATGCTTCCATTTCCCAATCTGGTCAACATTTGCGCAAAGTTTTACACCCAGTAGAACTACTAAAAATGATCAAATGGACAGATTTCTTTCTTACTTTTGTTTGTAATTAAGCACTCAAGACAAGTGTAATTAACAAAGACATTCAGAGTAAAGTCAGGGATAAGCAAAATGCTTATGAATAAATGTAAATTGACCTGATAAATTCATGGATTCTCTCACAGACAAAAATATGCAAAATCCTCAGCATCTTCTTCTGAACTCAATTTTAAGGTTCATTTATGCAAAAAAGTCTTATTTGCATATATCACATGGGACTCCTCAGGGTGTCTGACCCATTAAAGTTAGCCACAGAATCTTTAAGATAAAAGACAGTTTGCATGATACCAAATCTGACCATACCCATCCTACCTTCTTAGAAGAACACCCCTTCGAGGTAGCTATAATGTTTTGAGACAAATCTCAGGTATAAGTATTTGCTTCTGATTTTGAGCTGAAATCTATTGTCCCATAACTTCCAATAAGTCGGTCTTCATTCTTCCTTCTGCCAAGACCACATTTAATCTTTCTGGCATGAGATAAGCTTTTTAATATATGAAATGAGTATCAGCCCACATATTCATTTTTAGGCTTCAGTAGGTTTTCACCAGATTCTTTAACTGTTCCTCATAGGACACATTTGGATTCTCCTAAAAATTTCATGTTTCTTTGGCCATATTCCAAATCCTAAAAATATGATTTGAGTGAATGAATGAATGAATTAGGAACATCTATACTGAATTGAAAAGCAATGACCTCAAAGAAAAATCATTAAACAAAATGAATTAATTAAGCAATGCCCTTATTGATTAACTTTTAAAAATCATTGTCTTACAAATAGAAAAGTGTTTGAAAAATTAGTTTCACTAAAGTCTTGATGTAATTCTGTGTATACTTAAAAAGGTCCTAATCAATTAAATTTTAAATGGATTAGTTTTAGTAAAAGGCTACATTGTTTGTTTGTCTTCTACGTAAATCAGGCACCATGTGAGGTACTTTGCATATTAGTGCCCTTAATCCTCAGGATAAACTTAAAAATAATCATAATTTCTTTTTTTTTTTTGAGACAGAGTCTCGCTCTGTCACCCAGGCTGGAGTGCAGTGACCCAGGGTCTCTGCTCACTGCAAGCTCTGCCTCCCGGGTTCACACATTGTCCTGCCTCAGCCTCTGGAGTAGCTGGAACTACAGGTGCCTGCCACAACGCTCAGCTAATTTTTTGTATTTTTAGTAGAGACAGGGTTTCACCATGTTAGCCAGGATGGTCTCGATCTCCTGATCTCGTGATCTGCCCGCCTCGGCCTCCCAAAGTGCTGGGATTACAGGTGTGAGCCACCGCATCAGGCCAAAAATAATTATTTTTAAGCCCATTTTGCAGATGGAAAATTTGAGGCTCAGAATTATTAGAAACATTCAAATATTCAAAGCTCAGTGATTTTAAAATTTTTTTGACAACAAACGACATTTTACATTGTGACCCAATTTTACACACTACACACACAAACACATATATGTATACGTGTTTATCTATATATCCGTATATCTCTATATCTCTATATAACTGAAACAAAAAGGATTCTTGAAATAATAGGATACGTTTTATCATTTCCTAGTCTTACTTCTTTTTAAAATTATATTTTATGTATCCCACCAAGATATGCTGACAATTTATAAAACATGGACTGACTCACCAGATTGTCCTATTCAAAGCTTTTTGATTTCAAATGCCAAGTTCCTTTGTAACTTCTTTATCTGACATAGTTTAATGCTAGGTCAAAAGCTGCAAAATTCTTATAAAATTTTATTTTGTGGAAACTACCAAAATTATGCCAGTAGAAATGACAATAGAGTAGGCAGGACTCAGAATATACACACAACAATTATTTATTGAATACACATAAAATAAGCTCCCAGACAGATTTTTATACATAAGGAAATGAGTAGGTTATAGTTTCAGACCTCAAGGCGATTATTGCCTTGTAGGGGTGGAAGACAGACTTGCAACCAACTAAGAATAAAAAGAATGGACATGAAATTAATAATATGTTGGTACAAAAGAATAAATTTTGTAATGGGGGTTATTTTTAAAATAAGAAGCAAGCCAGTAAATGCACTTTTAATGTGTCTAAAATGTTCATCACTGATGCTGCAACAAAAATCCTCCTCTTAAATTTCAGGTTACTAATACACAACTGATAAATATCTACTTTTGGAAATTTACTACCTGGAAATGGATGAACAAATCTTCATTTTCTGTTTTATTTTCCCTATTAAAAATGAGGATAAAGTAGACCACATGATGAAATAGACCTTTCCTGTCTCAAGCCATTTAAAAAATCTTTGGCTTCATCTAATACTCACTTAAATAACCATCTTACCTAAAAGAAAATCACTAGTGTGATAGCCATGTATTTCAAGATTGCCAGCAACAGATTCTGCTGCAGTTAAACCAGAAGATGGATGTTGTTTGAGATAAGCAGAACGTATAATCTTAACCTCTTTCTTAAAATATTGGGTCATAAACATTTTCTTGTTTCTAGGGGGAAATCTGTTCTGCAAAAAGAAAAGGATAAATGGATGTTTGCATGTATAAATTCATCTTCACTGCAGGTATTAACTGTTGTAATTTTAGTTATGAGAACACTGTGCTTCTTTCAGAATGCCAGTTATAAAAGGGCCATTTTCTGACATCCAACATTCCATAAATAAGCACTTAAGTGATGAGAGTGATCTGGGATTCTCACTAGGAAATTGTATGCAATTATATTAATCAGTGCCAACATTCCTAGTTATTCTTTGGGTTTGCAAAAGCCTGGAAAACAAAGAAGAGGGGCAAACGGAAAGATGGGTAGAGAAAGAAGGAAAACAAAACAAAACAATGCAAGTCTGGGTTGATTTTAACTGATTCTGTCTTAGTTAGAAGTGTACTGATTTATATGGTGGGAACTGGGCTATGATTATAGACTAGCTACCATTCCACAATACTTTTTTATCATTGGCAAGTTATCTAAAAATGAAAATATTTTCAAGGTAAAGCCACAGTCAAACTTGCTTTTGAACCCCAGCTTCTTTCCACACCTAGGTCCATCTGTTAGAATCTTCGAATTTCTAGGGATCTGTTATCAGAAAAAAATGGAGCTTGCAGTCTTGCTGTGTCTTCTGTGCCTTCCTCAGAGGGCCCAGTTAACAGGCTGTTGAGATAGGTGTACCTGGAGTGGCTTTCTCTCTTATTACAGCGATGAATGTTTTCTGATTGCTTTTTCTTATTGAGACTTTCATAAATCCAGTTTTTCTATATTTCAAATAAGTAAGGCTCATTTTTAGAGCATCACTATACAAATTACCAGATAATTTCCTCTTACGTTAAAGTCCCTAGGAGGCAATGTGGGCTATGCTTCACGTAGGGGTATTTTTTATGGGTATATTTTTCTACCGTTAATCGATGTGTTGATGCCTTGTCCAAATAAAGCAGACAATGAACAAATAAGCATATTCCAGGTAAGTAACTACTTAAATCCATTAAATTCTTACCCTATACCATCAATCACCATTTTGAAACCTTACTTTATCAGGGCTTTAGTATAAGGATCCCTTAAGATGCAGAGGAAAATTAATTTAAAATTACATTAATTCACATATTCTGCCTTTCAAACTCCTGTCATGTCTAAGGATTCAATTAGTCTATCAGTCAAAAGGTATTAGTGTTTTGCATTCTTACATGTCACTAAAAATTTAATGTATTTTTTCAGAAGTCTTTCTTGTCATTGGCCAATATCATGCAGAGAGATGAAGAAATTTAAATTACACCATTAACCTTTAAAGAACTTAAAAGTTCAGTTAGAGGAACTAGAAAAAATGCAGAGTAAAATCTTTAAAAATAATGTTTAACTTAGTACTGAATCACAAAATATAGAATGCGGAGTAGAGGGAAATGGTTCCTGCTCTCCATCTGAGACACTAACTACAACACGGCAGGATCTATTCACCAGAATCTTATTGACCACCTGCTGTATGTCAAGACCATTTTAGGTGATGGATTTCTTCACACAGCCACCAACTTCTGTTGCTAAACTGGTGTTGAGAGCTGCAGCTCCCAGGCATATCTGAGGATCTATCATCGCCTCGAAGATAAGTCTTCCAGAGTCCCTTTCTCATGACTCAG